ACACTGTTGGTATAAACAGTGCACTGTGCAGGCCAGGTCATGGACGAAATGAGCACCTCGCCATGGCAAGTTATCTAGGGGAAACGCTGTACATGTTGTGGTGTTCCTGAACAAGACACCCATTCCCTAATTGCTCCTCAGGTGCTTACATAGCAGCCCACTGCTCCACCTGGGTGTATCTGAGGTGTGATGGGTTAAATGCAGAGAACTAATTTTGCCATCGTATGGGAACATAAAATGATGACAGCACTTTACTTTACTTTTTCATTCAATCTGTATTTAGACAGGTTAATCCCATTGAGCCTTGAGGACTCATTTACAAGTGAGACTTGATTTCAACAAAGAATGATGACAACAGTGGACAACAACGACAACAATAGACAGTTATAAAAAGGCATACAGATTTATTTTTTTTTACAAATAAGATGGCAAAAAAAGTAACAAAAACAGCTAGATTATAAGGCGAATGTAGAAAACTAAAAACAGGAACATGTCTGTATTGGTCCTTAGAGTTGGGGGTTCGAATCCACCAGCAGTCACATGTCGAAATGTCCCTGGGCAAGACAATGAACCCCTCATAGCCTCTGATGTGTGTCCCATCAGTGTATGAATGTGATCTAAAGCTCTGATTAGTCTCATTAGAATGATTTGTTCAATTAGCTTTGTAGAGATCTAGTAGAGTGCTGTATGAATGGGTAAATGAGGACACAGATTGTAGTGTAAAGCGCTTTGAGTATCTTGAAATAAGATAGAAAGGCGTTATATAAGTACAGTCCATTTACCATTTATCAGGGAAGGCATGGGGTCGGGGTGACTTATTCAATTCAATTCAATTCAAAAATACTTTATTAATCCCAGAGGGAAATTAAATGTTGTTGTAGCTCATTTTCCTTGTTTCATAAAAAAGTTGTTCTAGATGTTGATGGTTGTGTGCGGGAAGGATCTCTTGTGATGGTCCGTCTTATAGCAGATCTGAAAAAACTGGCCACAGATGTTGATCCGTTTACTTGCACTTGGTTGGCCTCCTGGGCTTCAGGATCACCTGAATGTTGGGCAGAAATCCTCCCAGGGCAATGGCCACTCCTCCCAGCAGCTTGTTGAGCTCCTCATCGCTGCGGACAGCCAACTGTAGGTGCTGATGGACGATCCTGTCCTTCTGCTGTCATGAGCCGTGTTTCCTGCTAGTTCCAGGATCTCAGTGGTCAGGCACTCGAGCACAGCTGGCAGGTAGATGAAAATGCATCCACAGAACATCCTTTTCAACTCATTTGAAATTTAGGGCTGTAGTTGAGATATTACTTGAGCTTTTGAGATATTAATCAGCTGCTGTTGGTTATAGAAACTGCCTTGTTGCCATGGTTACGCATCATAACAAATGTCCAAAACTAAAAAAGTTTCCGTAAAAATCCTTCCAGCTGCACAGCATCCGATACCAGAGGAAACAATCATCCAAAAAAATGTGATTTACATCCAGAAAAAGAGGAATTAAAGTTTCCAAAAGCAAAATCTCAGAATGAAAGTAACAGAGCTGCTCCAACATGCAGCCACCTTGAGCGGCGCAATTCTAGAAACATGCGTCTATGCGTCTAGTTAAACAAAGGTTAGTGCACAAACTGTGTTCTGATAAGCCGTTCCTGCTCTGAGGCTTTAGAACAATGGACTGTGAAATATTGCCCACATTATTTACCTCTTGAGTTTGTGGCAGCATATATCATTGTTGTCTATATAGCTTCGGATGTTAATGCTAAAGACGCACTGCAGGAACTAAATGATAACATCATCTTGCTTCAAATCAAGCATCCGGAGGCTTTTTACGTGGTGGCTGGTGATTTTAATCACGTAAACCTGAAAGACACTGTCAAGATTTTATCAGCATGTCACCATACCAACATGGGTAAATAATACACTAGACCATGTTTATACCAACATACAAGACACATATAAAGCCATACCATACCCCCACATTGGCCTCTCAGACTACATCTCCATCTTTTTGGACCCTGTTTACCACCCCCTGCTGAGACGTTCCAGACCCACACAGAAGATCGTCACTGTGTGGCCCAACGACAATGACTGTACTGCAGGACTGCTTTGCACACACAGAAGGAATGTATGGAAGGTATTCAGGGAGGCTAGTGTAAAGGTGGGAGAACTGGATCTGGAGGAATACACATATGCTGTCTTCAGAAACATCAGCAAGTGTGTTGAAGATGTCACCACCAGGACTGTGTTGTGCTACCCGAACCAGAAACCCAGGCTGAATGCAGAGGTTCATACCCTGCTGAAAGCCATGAATGTTGTCTTCAGGTCTGGCAACTCACAGGAACTGGGGAGGGTAAGGAAAGAGCTGGCTACTGGTATTAAAAGGGCTAAAGCTACATATGCAGGGGTGCACATAACTGGTATGTAGGTATGCATGCGCAACAAAAATCAGGAATGCATAGCATCACCTGTGTTACCACATGCCTTTTCGTACTTAACCGTAAACTTATCAACACTAGAATTCCAGAATCGGGAGGATCAGGATATTTCCCGGTGAGCTTGTCTGATGTGTGGGCTGCAGGGCCAGCGCTCCCTGTTTTTTTTTTAAGAACTTTTTATTACCAACATTAAACCTCAGAACACTGCTAATGCTGCATCTGGGCCGCCCTACCTCCACCCAGGGCCGGGGGACAGCGGCAGCGTTTTTGTTTTTGCACAAGTTGGATTCGTGATACGGCCCGTCAATCAATCCAGTAGGCGTGTTAGTAACTGACCAATTGACGACCTCAATTTGTCCTGAACGTAAACGTTCCTTACTTGCATATATATGTAGTCTGTGTGATAATTGGGACAAAGCTTTGACTCAGGAATATATTTTTGTTATTACTTTATGGAAATAAAAAAAATAATTCAAGCTTTATTTATACAGGTTAGTCTCCTTGAGCCTCGGGACTCATTTACAAGAGAGACCTGTTTTTAACCAATTATGATGACAACAGTAGACAATCATAAAATAAAGCATATGAATTAAAAAAAATTAATTGAAGAAAATTATATTAACAAAAATAAAACAGCTACATTATAAAGCGATGTAAAATACTAAAAACAGGAACAAGTCTGCATTGGTTTGTGCCATAAACTTAGCAGATGTTTGAATATTGAGATATATATTATATATTGTATATTGCGATTTATCTTGAACCTTGAATCATTTACCTGAACAATAAACTGGACTGGTCTCACAACACTGATGCACTTTACAGGAAGGGTCAGAGCAGACTCTATCTGCTGAGGAGACTGAGGTCTTTTGGAGTGCAGGGGGTGCTCCTGAAGACCTTTTTTGACTCAGTAGTGGCATCAGCCATCTTCTATGGTGTTGTGTGTTGGAGCAGCAGCTTATCATCAGCTGAGAAGCAGCAGCTAGATAAGCTCATCAAGAAGACCAGCTCTGTGCTTGGACGGCCCCTCAACCCAGTGCAGGTGGTGGGAGACAGAAGGAGCTCAAATAACGTCATTGCTGGACAACGTCTCGTACCCCATGCATGAAGCTGTTGCTAAAGTGGAGAGCTCGTTCAGTGACAGATTCCTGCATCCTAAATGCACAAAGGAGTGTTACCGCAGCTCCTTCCTCCCAGCAGCTGTTAGACTCTACAACCATCACTGCTCCCAACAAACTCAATAAGGATTAAATACATGCTGACCTCTGCTCAAACACACACTCAGCCTGGAATACTGTACTGTCAATAGTCTGTCCTTATCAATGTTCCAATACATATTGAACATTATTATTGGTATTGTTTATCTTATTTCTTTATATATTGTTTTTAACATTTAGGAACTTTTGTGTGAAATCTTTTTATCTTTTTATCTGTTGCTGCTGTTACACTTGAATTTTCCCTCCATGGGACAATAAAGGCTGTTTCTATTCTATTCTATCTTAAAAATATTGAGATATTAGTTTTGGTTCATATCGTGCAGCCCTACCCTGAAGCTGTTAGACTCATAAATCTCTAACCAGAAAAATCACTATAATGCCACTTTAATTGGTGACATGTCACTTTATCTGTGTTGCTGATTGTCCATGCTGCTGATTTCTTGCCTTTAAGCTGTTGTATTCATATCCATCTCTCACAACAGACTCATGTTCAAGCTGCTGTGTAATACACCGTATTATTTTGCATTATTATTGTTTAGCGTATATCTTGTGTACTGTTTCTTTATATCGTTGCTATTTTTGGGTGTAACTGGGGCCTTGAGTAAACAATTTTGTTCCATCTCATGTACCACATGTAATACGAATGACAATAAAGTCACCTTGAACCTTGAGATTTAACACCAGCACACCAGTCATCATATCACCAAATATTGTCCTGTTCTTTAGTCTCACTTTTGGAACAGATAAGTATCAGAAACATTTGTCATGTTCCATTCCTCACTTTCTGTTTTCGTCTTGTCCTCAGTCTTTGACAGAAGGAGCAGGCTCGTACTATCACCTGACTCACAGCGAGCTGATCGCCCTGCTGGTCCAACGCGAGGTTGAGCTGGAAAGGCAGAAGGTGGAGTTTGATCGTCAGAAACTGTTGTTGGCAAAGAGGGAGGTAGAGCTGAAGAAGCTGAAACCACAGGTCAAAGACCTCGAGGACTACATTGACACGCTGCTGGTGCGCATCATGGAGCAGAAGCCAACACTTCTGCAAGTGCGCCCCAAGTTCAAGTGAAACCGCCGAGAAAAAGTTCAGTTCGCATCCGTTCACTTCAAACCTCAACAAAAGCTCTTTAGTCTTTTCACTGCTATGCCATCCTTTTTGATATGAACATTTACGCACTGAGAGATACCGAGGTAAATTTTTTCTAGCCGGCATGCTTTACTACGTAATCTGAGACACATCTTTTAAAGACGGGTTTGATTTGAGTGGTTTTGAATGTAGCACATCCTCAGGTTGTCTTCAGGTTCACAAAGCCAGTTGGTGGGTTCCAAACCCAGATGCTTCCATTTGGGATCCTGATTGTAAAAACATTGACTCCTACTTTTCACTTCACACCACTTTTATCACCATAAAGCTGAAAATACTGTAGATGTAATTCAACTTTCTCAGCATAAATGCCCACTTTTTGAAAGTGTCTAAAGCTTTATAGCAAGAGGAGAGTTGATATTTGAGGAGCAATTGTGCTTTTTTTGTCCAATATCTGTAAACTGTCACATAGGTGCATTCATTATTTTTTACATAAATCTGTTAAATTTAACATTTCTTTCCCTTTAAAAAAGGCAAATGCTGTCAGTTTTTTACTAGTGCCTAGAATTTATCTTAAAATTCCCCAATTGTCATCTAAAATAACCCTAAAGGAATTTGATTTACCACAAATAAAAGAGCAAATCCTTAATAGGACTTATTTTGAGGTGTTCTGTCAAAAAATTATTAATAGTATTTTTCAGCTGTGAAATCAGTCACTGAGCACAAAGTCTTGAGAAAAGGGCAGACAAATCCATACAGGTTAGGCTAAAAGCAAGCTCAACAAGGTCAGTTTTTAAAAACGTTATCAAACAACTTTTTCTCTGTGTGAAAGAAGGTTCATTAGCTAATACTGATTCTGTATATTTGAGTTTGTTGTTTTTTTCCAAACACTGCTAATACATGTGCTGAGTCAGCGTGCATATATTTGCATAGTTAAAAGTGCTTTGTGTCATTTATAAGAGCCCAGAAACGATGAAATCTTCTCTGCGTTTGACCCATCACATGTGAGATACACACCAGAATGGAGCAACAGTTAGAACAGTCTCTCTCACTGTGACGTATGGGACTGGGAACTCGAACCAGTAACTTTCCAGTTCCAAAATGGCTGCCCTTCCACTGAGCCCTGTAATATGTCACGCAGAGGTTTAGTATGAGCTAATGTAGTGTTCTTTCACACTAAGAGTTGTTTTACAAACCTGAAAACTGTCAGATCGGCTTGTATTCAAGCTAGTCCAGGGGTCTGCAGTCTTTATGATCAAGAGCTATTTTTGCACCTTCATTCATAGGGTGGCTGTGGTTAGAGCAGTCGTCTTCCAATGAAAGAGTTGGGGGTTCGATTCCACCAGCAGTTGCATGCCGAAGTGTCCCTGGGCAAGACACTGAACCCCTCATTGCCTCAAATGTGTGTCTCATTGATGTATGAATGTGATCAAGCTCTGATGATTCTTTGTAGAGATCTAGTAGAGTGCTGTATGAATGGGTAAATGAAGGCACAGATTGTAAAGTGTAAAGTGCTTTGAGTATCTTGATAAGATAGAAAGGCGCTATATACAGTAAGTACAGTCCATTTACCATTCAGTGAATTAAATGTGTCTGGACCTGTAAAACCTGCTACAACTGTGATTATCAACTGGTGGCCCATGGGCCACTTTAGGCTTGTTGGAGGGGGCTTTTCTGGCCTGTAGGGATGATATTAAAAAACTTAAAATATCTAACAATTTTTAACATTTATTGATATTTTTACAATTTAAGACAAAAGAAAATACCAGATTATTGTAAAGAAAGGGAAAAAAAATCTCTTTTTTTAACCTTTTTTTATATTTTAAAAAAACTAAACTATGCAGACCTATGTTGTTTTTTTATTGTGGGAAAATTCAGTATCCTGCTTTGAAGAAATAAAGTTAAAGTGAGTATGTTTTACTCCTCATATTAGTGCTAATATTAACATATTTTTTGTCAACTGCAGCACAGTGGATCAGTTGGTAGAACTGCTGCCTCTCAGCGAGCAGGTCGCCCTGGTTCAAATCCCAGCCAGGGGCCTTTCTGGGTGGAGTTTGCATGTTCTCTCCGTGCTGCGTGGGTTTTCTCCGGGTACTCCGGTTTCCTCCCACAGAACAAAAACATGCATGTTAGACTGATTGCTAACTCTAAATTGACGCTAGGTGTGAGAGAGAATGTGAATGGTTGTTTGTCTCATTTGTCTCTATGTGTCCCTGTGATGGACTGGAGACCTGTCCAGGGTGTACCCCACCTCTCGCTGGATATGGGCACCAGTGACCTCTGCGACCCAAAAAGGAAGAAGCAGGTAAAAATGTGGATGGATGGATAGAAGACAGGGGAACTGCTAAAACTAGCCCTATTTTTTTTATTTTTTATTTTTTTTGGGGGGGGGGGGGGGGGGGGGGGGGGGGGGGGCCTTTAAAATTTAGTTTTGTGTTTGTTTTGGTCAAAGCTTGAAAGAGTCCCTGCAGAGGCTCCAAAGAGCCGAATGTGGCTTCAGAGCCGTAGGTTGCAAACCCCTGGGCCATTTGACTGTTGCCCTTTTCTCTTCACTCAGAGTTTTATAACTGCTGTCACCACTAATAATGTACAGTACTAAGTATTTGGCAGAACATGGTTTTAAATATTTTTTTAAGACTATCCTTTGTTTTAGAAGCTTGGGGAAGAAAAAGTCAAATTAATCTATATAGACTGGATAAGTATTTTTTGTGTCGTTTATGTAGTCCAGGACATGCCCTCAAAAGGAAGTCCTACCTCCAGCTATTCCATTACAGTGGAAGCGCATCACTAACGAATAACAAAAGGCAGCATAGTGGATATAATGTCTTTGCAAATTAATGCCAGACTTAAATGATCCCAAAGTATCTGAAACAATTTGGAAGAAGGAATGAAATGATGAAAGTCTTCCTATAATAATGTTAAATGTTCTTCAGAAATTTACAAGAAGAAAAAAATCTTGTAAAATGTGTGAAAGCACAGTGGGTATTTTTTTTATTTTGTATGACTTTGGGCTGTTGGATTGGTATCTTCAAAACTGGTTTAGGATTTAGACTTCACACATGCAGAGTGACTAGTTTTTAAAACTTCAAACCAAATGAGATACGTAAGAGATCAACCCTTCATGTCTACATTGCTGGGAACTGATAGTTTATTCCAAATGTTATACAGTAAAATGTTCTTAGCCAACAGGGTTGAATTTCACTGCACAATAAGGACTACATATCTTTTGCTTGCTTCTTCCTTTTCCCTATATTTTTCTGCCTGTTTTGTGTTCAGCCCCATAAACTAACTGATTCTCACAAGGGTCACAGTGTTGTCAGGTGAAAACAGTCTGTCAGTACCAAGATCAAGCCCCACCTCCTTGGTCTTCATGCTTCTGCCTTCCCACATGCATGTAATCAACACGACTGCAGTGCGTTGAGGAGACGCCTGCGACATGTCCGTACTTGACTTCCCTCCCTCAGTGTTCATGTGCCACATCTGCTTCTGCTCCAGCACGCACAACACTTCCAGGTGTTACAAAAAGGATACATACCCCATTTTACAGCATATATGCTGTATCAAAAGACCAAACGCTGCCTTATTTTAGTTTAATTTTGACGGTCGTCAAAAATCTAGCACTTCATGTTGCCAGTCAGTGCTCTGGGTCAGATTAGGAAGAAAAAAAGCCACGTGTTCACTAAAAAAGTGTTTTAACTCTTTTGATGCTTCATGATATTGTTTGGATCACTGCAGAAAATAAAACAGTATGTATTCAAGTATAAACTTTCAGATTTACTATGAAATGCCAAATGATGGTGAAGAAAAACTCAGAACTGATTGATACACTGTCAGGTATTCTAATAAGATGCCACTTATAACAGCAATTGTGGATGTTCTTGCACTACTTGAATGTCAGATTCGGACCTCTGCTGTACTTGTCTGTGTAATATTGGTATATAGATTGACTTTACTCCATACTGCACTTTTCTCATCATTCTGTGATTAGGCGCTTGACCTTGTTTTGACATCTTTCAGTGATCATTTGCCAGAGAGCTCAAAGCAAACATCCAAAACTTGGTTCTGCTGTGTGACTGCAACATCAGCATCACATGTGAGGATGACTGTATGAGCACGTTAGATATGAATCAACACCTGCAGAGTGTGAGAATAATCCTCCTCCATGTCTTCCATTTGGTAAAGGCTTTATTTAAGTTTGAACTGATTTTTTTATTTTTGCCAGCTGTGTAGATGGTGAAATGTGCTCAAGCTGGGATGTTGGACTAGAAAGTTTACAACACGTGATACAATTCTGTTTCACAAATTTTGTATATTTAATAAAGAGTATTTTGTGTTTTCTGCTCACTGTATCCTTTGTTGTTCTTTCATTCAGATGTGGTTGTGGTGATTTTTATTGACTGCAGCCAAAAAACAAAGTTGTGATAATGGTTTCGCCTGTGTCTGTGAGTATGTATGCGTCTGTTAGCAAAATATCATTGACTCCTGGATGAATTTCAGGAAACTTTCACCTCTACAACTACAGTAGTCCCTTGCTACTTCTCAGGTTGACGTGTGGGCTTGCTCTTTTCTGTTTTTTCAATGATTGTCAACTGTACTATTAATCGTGTGATTGGGACGGTACGAGATAAAAAGTTACTGAAAAACATTTTCAAACAGGCACCGCCATTTTGTAGTTTTCTTTCAGTAAGCCTACACTGTAATGCCAGTCAAAACAACTAGCTTATCCAGAAGTCAACAGTGCTTCCAGTTGCGCTTTGTGATGAAATGGAGGGAACGTTTTGATCCGATTCGAACTTGACTAAAAAAGTTCAATCCCTATTCAGCTGGGGCGGCTGTGGCTGAGTGGTTAGAGCAGTCGTCCTCCAATGCAAGAGTTGGGGGTTTGAATCCACCAGCAGTCACATGCGTAAGTGTCCCTGGGCAAGTCACTGAACCCCTCATTGCCTCTGATGTGTGTCTCATCAGTGTATGAATGTGATAAAGCTCTGA